TAATATGTGTAATTTTTATAAATATATTATCATTATTGTTGTTTTTTAAATTCTGAGTAGTGCCTTATCTTTGCGACATTCGTACCTACGAGTGTACCTATACCTATACCTACCTACTAGAGGAATGGAAATTATTGAACCCAAATTAAATCTAACAAAAAAACTTAACAATGTAGATAAAATTGAATTAGGTAGTGTTTTTTTGTTATTAAAAAATAAATAAATGTGTACATTTTCAACAATTATTTATAATACTTCTTTTAACAGAATATAATTTTCAATATATTAGTTTTAATTCTTTGTGAAGTAATGTTCAATTTGTTCAAWATATTTAGAAGAATTTCAGACAATACTTTGAACCTATTTACACCATTCAACTTAACGTGTGCACTACAAATAGAAAAATAAATTACTTATAGTAATATTTTTATTATATATATTTCAAGATRCAAAGGGTTTCCCCTAGTTAGGTTACCCTTAGGTTCTGGTGGTTGAAATCGAGGGTTTGTGAGCATAGTGTGCAGGTACCAGAGCCTTCAAGTATAAGATATATATTTTAAAATATCCTTAGAAATAAGGAAAGCAGAATCTCTGATTAAAATTTTTTCTTTTTTTTTTCATCGGTCGGTACAACAGTGATTAATTTTTGTATTACCATAGTATGTATAGGTAAACATCACAGTAAGTTTAACTTGAATCAATTTTTAACCCCTTTGCAYACTCTCCTTGTATACGCCCCAGTTCAAGATTACAATGATGTATACTTATATACCTCGTTACTCCGTAACACTACCAATAATACTAATATGATTTACGATTTTATTTGAAATTTAATTTTACAATTTAGTGATATAGGTATGTGTATAAATGAGTAATGGATGCCAAATAGCAATAGATAGGTACTACAATAATATTATGCACGACGAGCATATTATTTTTTTATGATACTAATATTAATAATAATAATAACATACGAACACGATATTTTAAACTGCAGCTCATTTTGATTTAGACTATATCATCGTATTATTATTATTATTGCAACGATAATATTTCGTAAGAATACTAAGAATTTTAAATAGTATTAACTGTATAAATAGTTCGTGTTCTTGGACGTTTCGTGAAACCCGGACCACGCTGTATAACAATAATATAATATTATGGCGTGTGCGGTGTCCAAGTTCCGGCGCCGGCGCTGTACGGAACCGCGTGATCCGACTGCGTCGTAGTTACACTAGCCGGTCGGTCGTCGTCAGTCCGGCTTGATCCGTGCGCCCGTCGACTACGTACCGTTCGCGTGCCGTGGGATTTATAATAAAATCGTCGGGCCAACAACAATATATTTCGAACGTGCCTGACTTGGCTGTCTGCACTCCGTTCAAATCCTATTTCGTACACGATCGAATAAACAAACGACTCCCCCCCCACCTACTCCCGGTTGACGTGCATTATTGATGCCCAGAAGATAATATTTTCGTTGTCACTGCAGTGAATCCCCCAAAAAAATTTCATTTTTACCGTATGTTAGAAAAGTTTAAACGTGCGTTCGTCCAACCCGACCAACAACTATATGACGCGGTTGGGGTGTGTTTTAGACGTTTCGTGAATATTAATTCATTTACACTTTGACAACATTACCGTTGGTGGAGATCATTACGTTTTTTTTTTTATGTCTGTGAAGGGAGAGAAACGATATTGTAACGCCACGAGTAAATTGTTATCTATTTTGTTGCTGATTAACCGAATAAATAAGGTAAATATTCAAAATCAATGTATAATATATATTATATACGCCTCTATATTGAAAATAATATATATACATAGTAACCTAGTTAGCTAATAGCTATCGTAATGTACATTCATAATACCTCTATATCTAAGGCTTATACAACAATAACAAAACTACTTTAACAGTTCAACACGAATTATTGGTGAGGTGTGCATATTTTATAATTTTAACTTTCAATATGATTATTTACTATTACTATAAACAATGCCATGTGCATTTGAATTAAATTTAAAAAAATGTATTTTGAAAAACAGGCTTATGATTAATAAAATACCTTCTGTTAAATAGTAAYTCATATTATACATAAAATAATCAAATTTATGTTAGATATTATACATTAGAAAAATAATAAGTTACGTAAAGTAAGAATATTTAATGCGGTCTTTATTAGAATTAGAGCCAAAACTTTAACAACGAATTTTGAGACTTTGATTGTATACATCAACATTTTAATTTAAATTAAAACGGTCTATAAATGAAAACAAATAACTAATAAAACTCTAAAGTTTTATACTTAATTATAAGTACCTATCTGCCTCGATACATTTATAATTCGTAGGTAGTCAAGTTAAAATGTATACTTTATAAAGGTTGAACTTCTTTGAAATAGCAATTAGCTACAAAAAATATACATACTCGTATAGTCGTATATAGGTATACAGAAATATTACAATTGTGATAATTACAGCAATTATAATGTAGGGTAATCGTTTATTTTTATTTGGATACTTACACTCACATAATATATACACGCACATGTATACATAATATATATTACCATGGTATTTTATTATTGTCCACATCAAGAACAATAGTGTACGAGCGAGCAATGAGCATTATTGTTACCTTTTACATAAAAATGTATAACAAATTGGGTGTTCGTTGTGGGGGAAAATATCCCTTCATGTATAAGCATGTCTAATGACATCGTGTTTGTCTTTAGGCCCATCGTTATAGGAGTCTGTATAAAACGAGAAAACGAAAATTAATAGCGGTCAGGTAGTCCCGTAGGCCAAATGTAATGATAGGACATTGTACTGAAAAAACAATTTCAGCAGTTCCTTTTGAATGTTATAAAATTTGATATATACATACATACATACATACATACATACATACATACATACATACATACATACATACATACAAATACATATATAAGCTCAAAACATTATATTTGGTTAAAATCTGAAACAAATAATAAAATACTAAATTCCTGTTGTTTAATTTCAGTGACCAGTATCAAGTATTATATAGTGCATTTATTCAAAATAATAACATACATAATATTATGCTTATCAAATAAAAAGAAAACGTGTTAATATACTTTTACGAAAAATATACGTTTTAGGAAAACAAGAGATAAGTATGACGAAACTTATTGTTTGTATATTAAGCTAAGTCTATAATCTATTAGCAAAATAAAAAGAGTCATAATTTTATCTTTACACACATACCCACCTGTGTTTTTAATTATCTGAATAAGTCATGGCTAGTGTAAATATTAAATAGGTAGGTACATATTATTTATTAGAAAATATAATATCAGGTACGCGTTATCTATATGGTTTTATAAAAATATACTATTTAAACATTTTAAGCAATAATATTTTGTATAATCAATTTATATTTTATATTAAATCAAACATTTAAAATCTATGTAATTGCTAAAATTGTAGTTAGTAGGTACATATATAGTGTCTAATAGGTACGATATGTCTAATTACAAAGTAATATATCGCCTAAACCAGCGGTGTAGTCTGAAGGTCGCATTGGTTAGAAATAATTAAACGCTGATGTAGAAAAACAGCCTTTTATTTAAATTAAATGCCACCAAGAAGAGAAGCCGTTTTTGCATAGATAAGAAGTGGCAAATGATTTCTGATTAATGATATAATACATATATTTTGTAACTGGTAAAACAAATAAAAAACTTTAATTAATTGGTTTTCATTATAAAGGGAGAGAGGATCGTGAGGTGGCTGATATTATTTTTTACCTGTTTTGGAGGCCGTGACGTTAAAAAGGTTAAGAAACGTTGGTCTAAACGATACTTGTAAAAAAAATATTAAAAATGCTACAAATAATATAGTTATGTTTCCTATGAAAAATAAAAAAAACATGATACGTAACGGTTAATGTAAAAGCATGTTTAATAACTAATTTGTTTAAGACAATTACAATTGGTTAGTATCAAAGCTTTAAATTCTCAAAAAGATTTTTAAAAAATAAACAATTTTTGAAACACAACATTTTAGTCAATAACTGTGTTACGATGACCATAATGTCCTAAGCTCACCAGCATTTGAAAGCAATATTAAGAAAAATCTTCATATTCGAAAAAGTATAAACGTCCATGAACTTGGCTCCATGGAGCCTGGTTTTTAAAAATAGCACGTMTTGTTAATATTTCTCCAAAAAGAAATTATTTTGCTCGGTAAAGAAAAAGAATATTATTTTTAAAAAAAATGCAATCATATTAACTAAAATAATATAAAGCACATTATTGAAATATAAAAATACTGCAATCAACTTTTTGCAATAAATCAGTTTGGTTCAGAATCTAAAACGAAAGAGTGTAACCTATAGCCAAATATCATCAAATAGTGGGCCACAGGCTATATTTGGACCGTTTGCGAACTTTATCCGGCCCACAGACAATAAAATAAATTTTATGAGGTTTTCATTGATTTGCATTGTTTTTTTTTATTTAATTTTACTTGAACATGTTTATTACATTTTGATGGCCCCGATAACTTACCGAATTTTTAAAATATAGTCCCACAAGAATACCAACTTTTATTTGGCTATCCTACAATAAATTAAAATTTAATTTAATTTAATTTACAAAGGCCCGAAAAAAAATCAGATTCATTAAATTTTCTACCTGAAGGTGCAGCGTTCATGCATATTCCTATCCAAAATATATTAATTTATAATTTATAAACAAACAATATAAAATATATAGACATATCAGATGTATAATGGGCTATATTTTAAATATTTCAAATTAAATTTAAAGCCATAACGGGTGAATGAATATTGTTTTACTTMTGCAATAATATTTATTTTTTTCATGGTTGAAAACAGTCAAAATATCTAGAGTAGTGATTATTTTGGTTAGAAATAGAATGCGAGTGCAGGGCGGTTTTTAAAGGATCATTTTTCGTATTTCTCAGTCATTTTTAATAAAATCCTAAAATATAAAAGTTTTGATAAATAAATTTACCAATCCCCAATTTTTAATAAAATATTGACTATATTTAATGAAATCTAACTTTGCTCAGAATCGTTTTTCATTAGTATCTACCTACTTATTTATCTAATATTAATTAATTATTTAATTAGCGTTAAAAAAAAAATATATAGAATATAATACAGATTTTTAACCTTGTTTTCTGCTAAACTTAGCACAACGAATAATTCTATATAAATAAAAATGGGGTGTTACTTTATAGTACCTATGTAGTATGTACGTATATGTGCATAAGGGGTAGTGACGAAACCTATATAATATATGCTTAAAAAAAAAACAGAAATGTTACAAGACGTCTCTTTAGAAATTCTTAAAACGTATGGCTTTTAGGTTTTTCGAATAGAATTGTCCAAGCGAATCAAAATGATTCTTTTGAAGGACCCACAAAAATTTCCGCTTCCAAACATTGAATTCAATCGACGACCATTTTTACCCGACACTACGAATTGTTAGACAAACTTGAGGGGCGAAAGTGCACACAACAGAAGTGATAATTGTGCGACATTTCATGAAATCTATAGAGTCAGAGTGTATTATTATGTACCATTTGAATACTATATATAGTCATATTTGAGTAGACGAGTATAATACGACATTATGTTTACTGATAATCTGTTTAATATTTCTAACCAATGAGTCAACTCCTTCTGATTTTTTATTACCTATGTATTATAAGACTTCTAAAAAATATATCTCCACTAACCCATCCTCACTTGAATCGTATTTAAATAATTTGGCATTACTACAATACTGATTCATTTTAATCGAGTTAACACGTGTCAGTGGTAGTCGTAATAATCGGTCGCTAATTTGTGGTTATTTAATTTTTAAAGTTGTAAAACGTATGAAGTGTTGGTCCCTTATTTCTGCATCAGGGTTTTAGAACTTGGTATATCAGTATCGCAACAGCCCTAAAAGGGTTTGGCCCGCATAATGAATGTTTACTTACCGTAACATTGGTATTGGATAGGGAGTTCGCAGTAAGTACCTTTCACTAAGCTACCGATTGTTGTTTATATCACGCATAGTTAGCATTAAAATAACAGAGAAAGGTATTAGCATAGCGCAAACGTCAAGATAAAAACACATTAGGTTTTTAAGTATACGTCATCATAATAGATTTGACACTTAAATTTGATAACATTGATGAGTATTTATTAGACGTGTTTATAATTAAACATATCACATTATGTCTATATTATTTACATAATATTCCGATCAAACATAATTTTAATTAAAACAGGGGTCCATAATATTTAAAATCAATCCAGAAAAACTAAAAAAATGAATAAATAAATTAAGTAACGATATTAATGTACTGTATCCCATAATTGAAAAATGAATATCATTCAGTTTTAAATTATTTTTTCACTCAATACAAACAAATATATAAAATATTGTATTTAAGTTTAAATTAATTAGATAGGTATATCGTATATGCAGTTAATCAACAATATAATTTACATAATTTAATATACATTATGATATATAACATTAAATATACGGTTAGGTGTATTTGTATACATTATTCAATACCTATATTCCACACCAATTGTGATGATGCATTATTTTAATATTTAATTACTTTTTTGTTTATGAACTCATATCAATAGGTAGATATGACTTATTATCATTTCATCAATAATATTATAACACATTTAAGTCTTAAGCTTACTAATTTATTATTCTAAATACTAGTGCTTAATTA